TTTACAATAGCTAAGCTTTGGAAACAACCCAAATGCCCAAAAATAGATGACTGGATCAAGAAGATGTGGTACATATACACCATGGAATATTACTCAGCATTCAAAAAAGATAAACACTTGCAATTTGCAGCCACATGGATGGCGCTGGAAGGGATCATGCTCAGCAAACTAAGCCAGAAAGAAAAAGAAAAATACCGGATGGTCTCACTCATAGCAGGAATCTAGAAAACTTAAATAAGGGACCAGGAAAATGAATAACTATAAGAAAGTGAAAATCAAAATCAACAAAAAACTATGACCAGAGACACTCTATGGGGGGTGGGGGGCAGGGACGGGAGGGATTGGGGTCAAAATAAGGGGGTTGCAATTGTATGGGGAATATAAAAATAAAATTTATTTAAAAAAAAAACAGTTACAGACTTGGCAATTTTTTAAAATTAAGTTTTATGTTGATGCTTCACCAAGAAATTTTCCCTGTGACCTCTCATTCTATCTTCAAAATTTCACAGTTATATAGCATGCTTGAGCTCACACACACACACCTGCCCACCACACCCATTCAGTGCACACCCTCCTTACGCACCACACTCATTTTCCACACTGCCTCCAGCAGGCACAGTACCCTGTGGGGCACAGCCCCCCTCCCAGTTGGAGAAAAGAACTGCTTTTCTCCAATTCTCCAGCTCAAGTAACTGATGTTACTGCGATGTCACCGTGACACAATGCTGTCTGTCAATGTGACTTCTGCAGCATCACAGTCATAACCATCAGGGACACTTACCCGGCTCTTGAGCCACATGCCCCTCAGCCTGAGCACTTTAGGCAGCAGCACTCATTTAACTCACAAGCCCAGGAGTCAAACCAGACAGACTAGTGTGAGACCCATTGTTCCTAACCACTGCGATGCCCCTCTCAGGCCCACTGAAGAAAAGCCACCGCAGGAACTGAGCCAAGTCAAACTTCTTGTGCCTCAGTTTCCTCATTTGTAAAAGGGGCTAGTGATAGTCCCTACCTCGTAGAGTTTAGTGGACGATTAAGTTTGTGAACATGGTGCAGTGCCTGAAACTAACACTATCTTTAGACACCTAAGTGTGAACTAGGAAGTGTCAGCTAGTAATAATTAGCTCTTCATATCTTCAGCATTTTCAGAGCCTTCTAGATTCCAGATAAGGGGAAGTTTTTTTTGTAAAGGGTCAGATAATAAATATTTTCAACTTTGCCACATAAAGTCTTTATTACTTAATTGTTTAGGGTTTTTAAGACTTTAAAAATGTCCAAATCATTTTTAGCTCATGAGCAAAACACGGGGCCTAGGCTGGATCTGGCCCACAGGCCATAGTCAGCTGACCCCCGCACTAGACAGAGAGAGAGCCCTGTCTTAAATACCACTATTTTTTGTGTGACCCAGTGTTAACGTTTTAACACAGACATGTCCTCAGACAAAATCTTAATCTAGAGCCTTTGTGCATAGCAATCACATTCAAACAAAGGTGGGTGGTATGTCCAAAGCACCTCCCTCCTGCTGCTTCACCACCAGCAGGTAGTGGCAACCTCCTGGCAGTAGTTCAGTTGGAATCCACAGTTCCTGGCAGCTGGCTTCAGGCCCAGGAGCCAGGGAAATCTTGCTGCAGTGGCTCCACTTGAACAAATTCTTCTAAAGTCACAAAAATTCCATCTATCTATTTTTATCTTGAGCAGTCATCCTGTTCTTCCCGGCATCTCTGCTTTGCTGAGCTGCAGCCTGGCCCCACACGATTTGACACTTAATTACATACTGTCTTGAATCATTATCTAACTGTTCTTGAACTGTTATCTCCTCATCTAGACGAATTGATCTGACAACAGGAAGCACTTCTTGCTTCTCTTGTATCCCCTCAACAAGCACTGAGGGGTGAGGGGGTACTATTGAAGGGAAAATCTCTTCCAACCCTAAGTCTAAGACTCCCCAGGGGAGGAGAGTATTGGCAAACAGAGTAAGAGCAGTAACAGGGTGAAGCATCTCCTGAGGCAAGCACTAAGTCAGAGCAAGTGGAGAGTTTAGTGGGGAGGTTTTTCTGTGTTTCAGGACCCAGGGTGGAATCAATCAGATTCTTCGTTTCACAATATAGGACAGCTTTGGGTCTATACACAATCCCTCTCCCCTTGCTTTTTTATAATTCCCTCTCAGTTCTATTCCCCAGCCCATTTCCCTCCCTGTAATGTCCATTTCACTATGTTTATGTGTATGCATCCTTTGACTGTTGTCTTTGCATATATAGAAATGGTTCATGTTTAAGACATCATTAGAAATGGTTCATGTTTAAGACATCATTCTATTTCTTCCTTTTTCACCCAGCGTGATGTTTTTAAGAGCTATCCGTACTGCCAGGCTTACATCTAGTTCATTTCTCCTAAATGTCGCATACTATTCCATAATCTGCACTTGCTTTATTTCACACATCCAATCTCCCAAGGTTGGAAAAGAGAGTGTTCCCAACTGCCACTCCCACAAACAGAGCTCCGATGAACAGCCTCATACATGTCCCTTACAAGTGGAAGTGGGAACCTGTCAGGCACATATGCCCAGGAGCAGCAAAGCTGAATCATATGGTGTACGTGTACTTGGTTTGACTAAGCATTGCCAGGTGTTCTCTCAAGTCTCCCTCCCGCCAGCAATGCCTGAGGGTTTCTGAGACTCATATCTCAGCCAACACTAGAAATATACAGGGTGAAGGATTGAAATGTGTCTTCCTCTCCAAAAAAAAAAAAAAATCCGTAACTCGTGACCCCCCAGTAGCTCAGAATGTGACCATATTTAAAAGTAGGGTCTTGGCAGATACACTCCAATTAAGATGAGATCACTAGGATAGACCCTAATCCAATATGCCTAGTGTCCTTATAAAAAGAGGAAATTTGGACACAAAGACAGACATGTACAGATGTAAAGAAGCAGACATGGGGGAATGCATGTGAAGCTGAAGGCAGAGATTGGAGTGATACATTTACAAGTTAACAAAATCAAAGATCGCCAGCCAACCACCAGAAGCTAGGAGAGAATGATGAAATAAACTGGCCCTCACAGCCCTCAAAAGGAACCAATCTTGCCAACACCTTGACTTTGAACTTCTAGCTTCCAGAACTATGAGACAAGCTGTCTCCATTGTGTAAGCCACCCAGTTTGGAGTATTTTTTTACATCAGCCCTCAGAAACAAGTACATTCGGCTTCCCAAGTTCTGTCAATCTGACGGGTATAACATAAATTCTCATTATTTTTACTTTTATGCCTCTAATCACTAGTGAGTTTGAACATCTTCATTGCTTTGTAGTCATATGGTTTCCCTGTAAATTGCTAATTTGTATCATTTACCCATTTTTATAGGAATTCCTGCCTTTTTCTTGATTTACAACAGGTCCTTAGGCTCTTAAAGTTTGGTACTTTACAAACAAACTTCAAACTATCATCTGTCTTTTAACTTTATTAGTTCCCCACTGGGAATTGATAATTAATTTCTATTTAATCAAAATTATTAGTTTTTAAAATTATGGTTTGTGCAACTGGAGTTTTGCTTAAGAAATTCTTCCCCACGCCTTTGTTCCCAATGCCCCAAAATAGATGACTGGGTCAGGAAGATGTGGTACATACACACAATGGAATACAATTCAGCAATCAAAAAAGATAAACATGCCATCTGTGGCAACACGGATGGAGCAGGAAGGGATTATGCTCAGTGAAATAAGTCAGAAGGAAAAAGAAAAATACTCGATGGTTTCAATTATAGTAAGAATGTAGAGAAACCAAATAAGGGATCAGAAAAAATAATAATAATAAATAAAAAAAATTAACAGGCAACTACAAATCAGAGACATTCTGAATATAGGGGCGGGGGAGCAAGAGGGATCAAAACAGGAGAGGGAAGAGCACAAGGGACTATGGTGATGGTGTTAGGGGGAAAGGATGTCCTGAGCAGACTCCATACAGGCTTTGTGGACTCCACCCCCATGACACTGGGAACTACAAATCCCATGATCACCAAAGGGAAGGTTGCAAGGACCTGAGGGTGGAGTTAAGCAACTAGGCTCTAGGTTTGAGTATTTAACTGTCCTTGTGGCCGGGGGTTGCCCTCTTAGCCATGCAGCGTGCTAGGTTTTTCGCCAGCTTGGCGAGTCATTGGAATTCCAGGTCAGCAGAACGGATGCATTTAAGAACTTATCTCCTTTTTCTCCCTGAGTTATTCATTTCCCATTTCCCCTTCCCTTGTAAATAAACCTTTTATCAACCTTTTGTGTGTGCCTGCAGTTTAGCATTAATAAGTCCCCTTGAAGCGCGCGGGTGAGGACCCACAGTCAGGCAACCCGTTTTATATGGTGGTTTGCCCTGTAACAATGGTGTGATGGTGCACCGGTGAATTGGTGGTGGGAATTCCATGGGGACTAAACCTGCAGGGAAATAGCAAACACTGTACAAAAATTAACAGTGATGTAAAATATATAAAAATAAATTATATTTTAAAAAAAGAAATTCTTCCCCATACCTGTTACAAAGATATTTCTCCTACATAAGTTCTATGTTTCTCCTACATAAGTTCTATGTTCTCCTACATAAGTCTATAAGTTCTATGTTTCTTTGGCATATTAAATTAATATATAAATGTGTGTGTGTGTGTGTGTGTGTGTGATGTGAGCTAGAGAGCTGTTTAAAAAACCACTGTGTAACAAAACATTCGAAATGAGGGATCTCCCTGGTAGCTCAAGGGGTTAAGCATCAGCACTATGAAGAAATCCGCAGCTACTGCAGCACGAGTTCGATCCCCGGCCAGGGAGCTACCAACATAGTGCAGCAGACCTCTCCTGTCTCACCCGCTGCTCCCCTCAGCAGTGTATTTCAGTCAGTCTGCCTGTTCTGTTCCCCGCTCTGTCTCTGGTGAATCCTCTCTCACACACACAACCCTAGCACCTCTGGTCTATACCCCAGTTCTTGGCTTAAAATAAAAACATTTCTTTTGCTCACATATCTGCTCACATATTGGTAGGAGCATTAGGATGGTTGCTCTTTGTGCTGGGAGTGCCGACTGAGATGGCTGGAACTGAAGGATGCATTTTCTAGCTAGGCATTCCTGGCAGCTGTCCACCAGGGTTCCACTATGGCTGAGGGGTGGGGGGAGCCACAGTTTCTTCCTACTTGCACCTCATCACAGACTATTCAGACATCTTCATTTTGAAGGTTGAATTCTGAGAAAGAAAGAAAAAAGGCTTCAGATGTACCACTTTATATAACACAGCATCAGAAATTACTTAGTGTTACTTCCACTACAGTTAAAACCTGCCCAGAATCAAGGGTAGGGGGCATACATCCCCCAGCTCCCAGTGGGAAGAATATCAAGGTCACACTGTAAAAAGTGCATGTGGGAGGGGAGAGAATGTTGCAATCATCTCTAGGGATAGACTCTGCCAGCGTCCAGTTTTATTAGTGGGTCATTTTTATGATTTCTTAAATTCTTTTATATACCTGGCCTGAAGCTGAGTTCTCTCAACTGATACACTGTTCTGTTTACCCCAGCTTTGCCACAATAATATTAGCAATAGATCTTACTCTGGAATAAAGTTTCTTCTCTTCATTGTCCTTATTTCAAGCTTGTTATTCATAAACCTTTATTTTTCTACTTTTTAAAATATACCTATCAAGCTCTTTAAAAGAATCCTACTGGAAATTTGTCAGTCTGTCTTGAATTTATAAGCTAATTTGGGGAGAATAAACATAATTTTATATTTTCACCCAATCATAGATATTATTCTGGTATTATTCAGTTTCTTTTATTGACTCTGTTTTCCTGGTTAATTTTTGTTAATTCACATCTGCATAAATCAATAAATGATTATAGGATGGTTTCTGCTATTTATAAGTTTTGGGTTGTCAGTCTTCTATTGCTTTTGCTTGTTTGCTCTCCATTGATCCTTGTCTTTATTATTTCTTTCCTTCTTGTTTATTTCAGTGTGTTCTATTCCAATGTCTTGGGTTGAATTCTCGATTAATGTTAACCTTTTTTGTTTCCTGAAAAATAAATTTAAAGCAATAGATTCTCCTCTGACAACTGTTTCAGCTGTGCCCCACTTAACTGGAAAGGGAGGGATCTTATTATTTTTCAGTATCAATTATTATTTTTACTAACTTTCCTTATATCCACTATGAACTTAACTAGTAACTCTTCCTTTCTATCCAAGATTTCCCCATAATATTATTTGGTTTCTAGATATATTGGTGTCTTCTAGATAACTTTATTTTAACTTATATTTTTATAGTACTATGGTCAGCGATCATAACATAATTATTATTTCTTGGAATTTACTGAGGCTTCCTTTGTAGCCTAGATATGGTCAGTTTTTCTGTAGCATTTCTTATATGTCCAAAAAGACTTATATTCTCTATTGCTAGAAAGTTCTACATAGTTCTCTTAGTTCAAGCTTTTTATTATGTTATTTAAACAATCTGCATCTCTGCTTACTTTTGTTTCATTTGGGCTATCAGTTTTTAACACTGATGTGTTATAATAACTGTAGATTCACAAATTTCTTAAAAAAAAAAAACAGACTACTTTATGGATGAGCAACAAAGGTAGCAGAGAACAGTTTAGCAGATTCTCTCATATCAATTAGGGGATCCACACTGAGAAATTACAGGAAATTCAAGACCTGTACCCTATCTCAGCTTGAACTGCTGCCTCTAAAGCAGTTGTATAGGCCCTGGTTACTTCATCGGCAAAGGGGAACCTGTGTGAAGGTGGGGCTGACTTTCATATGCCCTTCAGGTGTTTCCACCTCCAAGAGCTGGTTCTAAATTAGGGATCAGCACAAGTCCCCAACCCTGCATCTGTGGCAGGTATCACCAGTCAGTCAGTCTTCAGATAGCCCACATCAGTCAGAATAAGCTTTATTGGCATCAATGGTGTTGGTGACAAAAAATACCAATCTGACTTTTGAGACTTAAGTTGTATCTAAAAAACTGAAGACAACCCCTCACCTCACAAGGCAAAGTCAACTCAGTGGACCAAAATTACTTCCTGATTTGCTCTCAAGCCTCTTGCAAATCAATCACCCACCCTCAAACTTTTCCATGTCACATGAGGATATCTAACATATGAATAAGGTGTCCTCCTGCTTTGTGAGAATTTCCAAAGAATTCCTGTTCTCTTATCCTTTACAGTTTGAATGAGACCCATTTTCCTGATCAAACAGGATGACTGTCAACACCCATGCCACAACCTGAAGTCTTCTGTGTAACTTGAGTGTTACACAGAATGAGACCCTTAAATAAACCAAGCTATCCAGAGGCTCTTTTCTTGGACATAATTAAGCTTTTGATTTAAGCTGGTATATCTGTGAGAGTTATTGAACAGATACAGGCTGAATTCAGAGCTGAACTGAGCAAATAAACACTAGACTGTAAGGATACCCGGCAACTCACACACTGTCCAGAAGGCTGGGAAAGAGATTCAGAAAACAGGAAGACACAAGAGAAGATCTGGGAAGTATAGCCTTGCCACCCCTCAGACACAGTTTGAAAAGTTCACCTCAGCCAGTGTCACCCCCAGCATGGCCCCTGGAAACTGCCTGCCCTCCTTTCTGCTCACCTGCCAACCCTCCACCTCCCGCCAAAGATCTCCACTGTCCCTCCTTCCTGGCCTCACCAGCAATCCTTTCAGAGCCTTGGGCAGGGAGAAGTGATCGCCAGACATTCCCCTGCTTGCTGGAATCGGGGAGCTCAGGAGGGCATGTATCTGGTCTTGAAGGTTTCCACACTGAGAGCCAGATCTGGTCTGCTCATACCAAGAATCATATGCTGGAGAAGTCGCCAAATGTAAAAAGCATTCAGTGTTCATCAAAAGACACAAAAACCACTGAGTTGGTTACAGTGGTGTGTAGATAGTTGCCCAGGATCCTTCTGAGAGGGTGCATGTCCCAGAATAATATGAACCCAATATAAACCTATTCTCATCTGAGAGACAGAGAATGATGTGTTTCCACTTACATGGTTGAGATAAGGATGATATGAAGTAAAATATGTGTGAGTGGACTGTGAATTAATTATAAAGGGCTATGTTGACATCAGTGACTCCAGTCATTCCTCTGTCTTGTTTGCAAGCTTCTTTCTAACCTTCCCCTGGTGTTGATGCATCACATAAACTTTGCCTGCCCTTTTAGCCTTACAGCAGATAACTTGCCTCTTACTCCACACAGTTAATACAACGCATACACAAAAAAAATTCTACCAGCTTCCTGCCACCAAATTGACAGACCACCCTGAACCCACTTTGTTTTTTCCTCCTGTACTATATCCATGGAGATATCACTTCCTATTCAAGATTGATTGTACCTTGGATAACTACCTCCATCACTTCTTATTTCCCCAGAACAGAGGAGGAGGGATATACGAACTGATTATATGAAGCGATCATCACTTACCCCCTATTTGTGCCCTAGCTCTCTCTGGTAGGTCTGTCTGACTCCAGAGGCCAAACTTGTCACTGCTAAATATGCCACTTCCTTGCTTTATGAATACCTGAAGGGGTTAGATATACACCCCAAGGAACCAACACAGTTAATGTCTGCCAGTACCCAGAGGGTGAAAGAAAGCTTCAAAGAAGAGAGAGCCCGATGCAAATCTATAAGAAGAGAAGGGCAGACAAGGGGTCTGAGGTAGATTCAGGAGAACAGGGGGACAGGGTTGATGGGGTAATAGAGGGAAGGGGAAGAGAGAAGCAGTCATGGAAATCCCCAAATCAATGACTGATCTTTCAGACTAGCAAACATAGCACCAGCTACAGTAAGAGAGCTGGCAAAAGAAAATAGAAAAAAGATTTTACAGTCACTAAAGTGAACCTAGTCAGATCATGGACTAGCAAGACCAGAGAAATCTGTTCCCATCCTCTGATTATTCAGCTCTCTGGCATTTGGGGCAAATTTTCCATCCCTTAAAGTAGCTACCTGGGAATATTCCCAACCACCTCCCTCAGAACCTAGTGGGTGTGTGCAGGTGTGTGCTCTTAAAAGGTAGGAACAGCTCTTTCACCGTGAGCTGTGAGTAAAAGAAAAAAAGATTTAAGAAAAGGAATCAGTGGCAACAGCAGGCACAGGTATCTGCAGACAGGTGGGTATCTCCCCACTGCCCGGCATTCGCTGTCAAGGAAATGGCCCACGCCCCCATGTCATGCAGTTTTCTGTCCTGCCTTATTCCACCCACACCTACACATCACAATCTAGCATGACCAGCTACTCACAGTCCCTCCAAACGTCTTCTTATGAACCAACAACAGGGCAGCAGTCCCAAAAACCTGGGAACTTTCTGCTGGGTCAGCGGGCATTCTACCTCAAGCCTGGGTGGGGTGGGAAATGCACTCATGGGACCCTATCAAAGCACACCTGTATGTCACACCCCATAAGCCCACACCACTCCCATCCATCATGAGAACACAGTATCTGAATCTTCCCGGGGAGCCTGCAACTTCTGAGAAACAAACATTACAAAACCAAAGAAAACATGAGCCCCAATAGTTTAAAACTATTACCGGCTGGGGGATACGGATATATATTTAGCCAGTTCCAGTAAGATTTTGTAATTCTTCCTTATTAACAAGTCCTGATTCAGGAACATGATTTTCATTGTTTGGTTCTAAGCTTAAAATACATATATCCACATATGTGTGGATATATATTCATGCACATAAAGGGTGATTTTTTTATATACACATAACACATACATAGTTATTTTATATAAACATATTTGGTGATTTTATATATGTATAATGTGTGCATATATATAGTCATTTTACCATTTAGACTATATAAGAGAGCAACCATAAAATTGAAATTCTGTCTTTCAAAGGGTTTTATGTACTTCTTTAACTAAAAACAGTTTCACAATAAAAATATCTAGTTTTACAAGTGAGCCCAACCCAAAATAGTAACTGTGGCCTTAAGGGCTATTATCCCATGGCTATATGAAGGATTTAGGAATATAAATGCCCATTAACACAACTAAGCATAACAATCTGATTTATAAAGAATCTCTTGCCAGGGCCCTGGTAGCACCCTACAATTACACCGCCCCAATTAAAACATCCTACAAGCCTAATAGACTTGCCCTGAAAGAAATCACCTTGTAAAAGCATGACCCACCCAAAAAATCCTGATGGAGGGGGTTCCACAACAAGGTGGTGGCCGCAAAGGGGTTTTCG